CTTCAAAGGTTCTCGCTAGGAATGTGTCTCCACGGGTGGATGGAGACCGCTCTGGGACACGCTGGTTGTGCCCCAGACGCCCCTCCATCGCTCGCGGTCCGTGGAGACACACATCTAGCCAACTATCTGTGCTCCCGCTGGGGCAGAGGGCGGGCAAGGGAAGTCTCTAACCAAGGACAAGGGACTTGGAAAAGAAAATACAACCTGGTTGTCAAAATTTGGCACCCTACAGGACCACTGTGAGCTCGGGGCGGCCGTCCCTCCGGACACGGGGAACTGGCCTCTTACTTGCTTTCAATAACGATTCTCTTTCTCCTACAAGAGAATCTGTGGATTTACCAGAGTAAATCCGTCTCTTCCGTAATGCCAATGATACTGTAGAGCTACGACAGGGAGGAACGTGGCTGGATGCTCAGCCAAAATGCATTCTGCAGCCGGATTGTTCAGCAACGCAGCGTAACGACAGGCTGGGCTGTCCGGGGGGCACGGGCTGGAAATCGCATCGTTCGTGCCTAAGAAAAGGAGGTATTGAGAACTAGCCCTTGTTGTGTGGCAAACGTTGCTCTTGAGCAAGTAGAAGGTGCCAAAATACATCCACTGACCTACAGGAGCTCCATTAAGGTGAACGTTTGTCTACGGTGCAAAGCTTACGCTGAGCTTTTCCCTGCTGCGTTTGCTTGAAAGGGCCAGAGATGGCGGGGTAAAAATCACCCACCTAGGGAAAAACGGCGATTAAATAATGGGTGCACGCTGACAAAATTTCAAGAAGAGCCACGTCAGATTTCAGGCCAAAACGTTTCAGCGTGCTTAGAGCGGAGGAGCCCCCGGGCACGGTGTGACCCAGCCTGGGCTCAGTCAGGGCTACGGGCCCGCTCCAGCTATCGGCCGGCAGTTGCTCCTCTCCAGCGCAGTGAGTCTTTGCCCGACTGAAGCTCTCTCACTTCACCACCTATTTTTTTTTTTTTTTTTTAACTGCACCATGAGGACAGCAAGAGAGATTGTGCGCCGTTTGCAGCTGAGAATGCACTTCAACGGACAACAGAGCTGCAGAAATCCCTCGATGCTCGCCACGGTCCGAGCAAATCGTTCCTGTCCCCTTACTGAGCGTGGGCTTTTGTGGGGTTTGTTGGTTGGGTTTTTTTTTCCAAAAGTTTCCAGAATCAGCTCATTGTATTGCGACAAATACACTGAACTGGACTAAAATGAGAGCTGTCCTTTCCTATCGCTTGTACTAAAAATTTGGAGACTCTGTCCGAAGGCAAATTTTTAAATGATAAAAGGAGCGTTTAACACAAGCAACTTTAGCTGACGTTAACAGCGAAATCCAGCAAAGGGCAGAACATTCCTGTGTCGTGTTTTTCAAGCACATAATTCCTGTTTCCCACAATAACATTTTTAGTAAAAAACAAACAAAACCCCATAAAACCTACAGTATATGAAAACTTAAGACATAACAATAATGAAAAAATGGTACTGAGTATACTTGATAATGATGTACACTTTAAAACAAATCAATAGACTATGATGTAAACAAAACAGTAAGATAACACTTTAAAAACAAGACAAACATTTATCCATCGATAGTATACAGTAAACCAACAGTCCGCTGTGCAGATGCACTTATCAGGATGGTAGTCATAAAATGATTAAGTGTGTTAAAGTAATGTGTTATAAAAGTCTATTATAATTTTCTACTTGTATATCTCATATAACAGAGCGCTGTTTGTTAATTGTTTCTATAGTGCTTTTTTTTTTTTTTTTTTCTTTTTTGACATTCCCATTGATCAGTTTTTGGTTAACACGTAGGCTGCAACAGGCTTACTGTAGAGGTGGTAGAGAACGATAGAGGGAAGAGGGGATATATACAGAAAGGCCATGCGCAGCTTCCCACCAAGAAGTCCTGGTGCTCCATAATTTTACTGTTCAGAATTTCAACATGGTCTACTGCAGGGGAAAGAAAACAAAACAACAAAGAAAGAGCGAGAAGTTAAAGAGAGAAATAGCTGTATTTTAATAAAAGTCATTCTAATAAGATACATCTGCGTCCTCTCTGTGTGGCCAGAGAGATTGCCGTTACTATGTCGCAGAGAGAAAACATTTTATTCCCTTAATTTTCTGACGTAGGGCGAAATTGCTAATAACGCACTCGGCATCCCCTTTAGTCTGCACTCGGGGCTCTCCGCTCCCAGTGCGCTTCACACACGCTGGCAAGACAACCAGCGAAAGAGGGAGGTGGGCGAATAATAGGATTGTTTTTGAGACAGGACAGTAGGTAGAGAGTGACCAGGGAGAGGGCCAAACAAGTCCTCGACCCCTGTTAGCTCCCATTTCCTTCAGAGAGAGCCACAGATGGTCACACACGAGCTAAAGGAGAATGGGGCCCCGAGACAAACCACAGACACACAAACCCTGTGCTCGGAGGACCCTCTTCAGGGAGTAAATCGCCTCTCTTGGGATGGACTCGTGAGGATCGCCCCCCGAAGGGCGCAAGACTTTTGTCTCCGGCAGAGCTGAGCCAGCCAGCCTGGACAGAGGACCTCGTCAACCACAGAGGGGAAGAAAACCACCTGCCAGAGCAGCAAGGGTTTCCATTACCCAGCTCCCGCTCCGGGCAGCTTTGGGAATCGCCGCTCGGCACTGCACAGCGCCAACCAAGGACCTTCACAGCGCCAACCAAGGACCTTCTCTGGCAAAACACTTGAGCACATGCACAACCCCACGTGCTCGGGTGGCAGCACGAAACGACGTGTCCTCGCGAGATTTGCTGGCCTTTATGCATGGACACAGGAGGTAACAACCCAGGAAAAAGATCAAAACATGCGTGCTGCCCCATGGAAATGGTCGCTGGTGGGTCTGTGAGCGCTGGGGACACCGGGGGACATTGCCCTTTTCTACCAGCCTCCGAAGGCGGTTTAAGTCCTGCAGCTGCGAGGTGTTAAGAGGACAAGCGGCAGAGCGGTGGCTCATGGACACGCTCACACTGCCCTCACAAAGCCTCTGACCCAGACCCTCTCCATGCCTGATCCCCAGCAAATCCCATCAAATTCAGTATGTTGACCCTATTTCGTTCAAGCGAAGGTTTTTCACGGTCCTTAACAACACGGCCGATGCTTTATTCGGACAGACTGCACAGTGCTCCCTGCCTGCTAAAGAAATATACCCCCTGGAAGTTCCTCCCCTAGGCTGAAATCACCAACTACTGACAGTGTGAGTTTAAGTACCCGTATGTAAAAGTGAAAAGAATTCAGGAAAAAAATGGTTTCCCAAAATAAGTGCTGAAAACAATCTCGAAGAGTTCAAGAACGAGGCTCTTCCCATGCAAATAATCTCCTCATCGGGTGGGACGCACTGCTTTGCACGTGTTACGGAGACGGGTTAACATGTCAGGTGTCACCTCCGTCTGCTGTTTGGGAGAGCAGTACGCTGCGTAACACGCGACACTTTCACTAGCGGGGATGGCTCAGTGTTCCCCCGCAGACTAAGAGGGGTCCACGGCCACAGTTGGCATGCAGTAGTTAACTCAGGTCAGCAGAGATGAGGGCCACCACCAACACGAGTAACTTCTGTTGATTGCTAAAGATAAAGTGAGAGAATTGCTCACCAAAGTGAAGTATTTGCCTGTAATACGTGAGCTAAGGAAGAGACGGGCTGCACATCTGTGTATACTAAATGGGCTGTGTTGGGAAAATCTGGTGACCTCTTCTTGAATTGGCTGAACTGCTCTTTACTCTCTTGGGGTAAAAAAGTAGAGTGATGAACTGAAACCCTCAAGGGATTTTCTCTCGTGAACATCAGCTAGCATGCACAAGTAGAAGCAATGAAGGAATGACACTGCCGCTACGGCTGTGAAATAATACTCTGTAAGTCCAAGAAAAGGACAAACTCCTCCATCGTTCCCACTCAGAGAAACCCGGGAGCCCAGGGAAGCCCAGGATCTGCAGGGAGGCTGAAGGATATGTTGCTTGTGACTTTCACCCGGGTCTTAAACACGTATGAGGACCTCTGAAGAAACCCGC